CTGCGGGAGAGGCCCTTCTCCGGGAACCCTCCGTGAAAGAAATTAGGAGGGTAGGTACCCGGAGGAGGGCTTTCTCTGCGGTGGCGCCCAATCTATGGAATGCGCTCCCCAGAGAGGTCCGCCTGGCGCCGTCGTTATTTGTTTTTCGGCGCCAGGTGAAGACCTTTTTATTTAAACGTCATTTTAATTGTTAACAATATTCACTTATTCATCTGGCCAGGGTGACTTCTTTTCTTTCCTTTTCTTCTTTTCTTTTCTTTTATAACTTTTCTTTTATAACTTCTTTTATATTGTTTATATATTTTTTATTTTATATTATTAATTTTAATTTTATATTGTTATTTTTGTATTGTATTTTATTGTGTTGTAAGCCGCCCTGAGGCTTCGGCAAGGGGCGGCATAGAAATGTTCTAATAATAATAATAGTAATAATCTCTGACTCACCCGCGACCTTATGAATGAAAACCCTCCAAAATGGCGTGTCCGTGGCAGCTCCATTCAGCTTCTGCAAATTCAAGGCTAGGGCTTCCCTAATGGAGTTCCCCATCTTATATTTGGCCTTCCTCTCCTACTTTCCCTGGCGTGGTGCTCTTTTCCAGGGAGTCTTGCCTTCTTGCGATGTGCCCAAAGTACCACAGCCTCGGTTTTGTCATTGTGCTTCTAAGCAAAGCTCTGGCTTGATTTGATCCAGGGCCATGTGTTTGTCTGTCTGTTGGTCCAGGGTATTCGCAACACTCTTCCCGCAGCACTATGTGCGCACATCAATTTTCTTCCTGTCGGCTTTCTTCACTGTCTGCCTGTCAGTTCCCTGTTCAATAGCCAGGAATACAACTGTGCGGATGATCTTGGCCTTGGTCTCCAGTGAAGCATCCCTGCACTTGGTGATGTTTTTTAGTGCCTTCATGGCAGCCCTTCGCAGACCCAGTCTTCCTTGCCACATCCTGGTCCATGGTTCCCTGGGCCTTGGACAGACAATTTTTCCAGCCCTTCCTGGAGATGTGCAGGTTTTAGAATAGAGCTGCCAGGATACTAATGGGGACCCGCAGGTGTGCACATGTAGCGCCGGCCCTCTACCGTTTGCACTGGCCGCCACTTGGAGTCGGGCC